CTGGGACTACAGGCATGCGCCACCATGCCCGGCTAATTTTTTCTATATATTTTTAGTTGTCCAGCTAATTTCTTTCTATTTTTAGCAGAAACGGGGTCTCGCTTTTGCTCAGGCTGGTCTCGAACTCCTGACCTCATGGGATCCTCCTGTCTCAGCCTCCTGAGTAGCTGGGACTACAGGCATGCGCCACCATGCCCAGCTAATTTTTTGTATATATTTTTAGTTGTCCAGCTAATTTCTTTCTGTTTTTAGTAGAGATGGGGTCTCGCTCTTGCTCAGGCTGGTCTCGAACTCCTGGCCTCGAGCGATCCTCCCGCCTCGGCCTCCCAGAGTGCTGGGATCACAGGTGTGAGCCACCAAGCCCGGCCTGTGTTGATTTTTAAAATTGTTTTTAGGATCTTTTTTTTTTGTAGAAGAACATTTGATGAATTGCGTCAAGAAATAAACACCCCGGGCCAGAGGCGGCAAACCACGGGGAGCCACGTGGCGGGGCGTCACCAGTGAGGTGCGTGGACAGGGGGGCAGAGAGCAGCGCCCCGTAGGGGGCTGGTCAGGCTGACGGGGCTGCGTGAGCTCAGGCGATTCCTCACCTGCTCACCGGCCTGGGCTGCCTCAACTTCCCCATCTGTAAAATGGGCATCGATCCTGTCCTCCCCCTCACGGTTGGAGGCAGGTGAGCGGGAAAGGACGGGAGACGGGGGCGTATGTGCGCACACGAGGGACCCCGCACTGCAGCCGTCGGGGGCCACGGGGTCGCCCACACGCCCCGTCACAGCTCACGCACTGCCGTGACCGTCCCCGACGCCGCGCGGCGCTCACATGTGGCGGCACATCTCCTGAAGCTTCTCCCGGGCCTCGGGGCAGGGGTCGCTGACCTCGATGCCGTCCGCGGGGGTCTCCGCGCCTCGCTGGATGGGCGGCGGGCTCGCGTCGTCCGCGGGTTTCGATTTGCCTGCAGCGGGGGCAGACGGGCAGGGAGGCGTTTCTGAAGACGTCACGTCCGCCCGGGGCCGAGCGCCGGGAGGGGCGCGAGAACAGCACCCCCGAGTGCGAGAGTCGCCGAGCGGGTCGCCGACGCTCCCCGGGGACGAGGACCCTCGGCCGCCACGTAGCGGACACAGACGTCACACGGCGGGTGGGTATGACGTGCGTCTCAGGGGCCGCCCTGTGCCAAGTGACGACACTGCCACGCCCTGGGCTCCCCGCGGGGACAGCGCCGCCCTCCACGCTGAATCGCGTCCCTATTGGACGCTCCTGGTCAAAGACGCCCGGTCTCGGCGTCACCCCGGCTGGCTTGAAAACCTCTGATGCCAGCGGACCTGGGCCTTCTGCAGGCAGCCCCATGTCCCGGGGACGCCTCACCGTGACGATCGTGCCCGTGGCCGTCCTCCCTGGTGAGCGTCGGTGTTTGAGGATGTGGCGACAGGAGCCAGGAGGTGGCCCTTCCGGCTGAGGTTCTGGACGCAGCCGCCCGTCGCTGGAGTCGGGCCCGGCCCGCGCCGAGCCTCTGCTTCCCGCACAGCTGGAGGCTGGAGACACGCGGGCCCGACTCCACCGGGACGCAAGGACGGGGCCTGGCTGCGGCGCGTGGCGATCCTCGAGTTCCAGCTAAATCCGAGAGCATCACCTCGGAAGCCTCCTCGCCGCCGGCCAAGCCTGGGGGTCTCCGGCACCCGCCGCCCTGCGCGGTTCCTGGTCCCTTCCCGTCCTCCTCCTGCCACCAGGCACCGGAGGCTGAGGCCACGCGGAACACCCACATCCGGGCCGCCCTGGGTCCCCGCAGGGAGACGGCCTCCTGCTCTGACCAGGAACTGCCACGACCAGGCTTCTCTCAGTTCCCTTCCCGTCGTGCCAGACCCTTCCAGAAACAGATCCGTCCCGGCTGCAGCGGGTCCGGCCCCAGCACGGCCAGCCGCGAGGTGTGATCGCACGTGGATGTGCGTGGAACAGACCACACGGAGCCTCCAAACTCAAAATGACGTAGAGCCAGACTGGGGACACGGTGTCACACCTCATCCCAACGGAGGAGCCGTTCGGGCTGAAAGCGGTGTCGTTCGCCGTGGCATCAGGACACCAGGCACACACCAAGGCGTTCCCGGGCAAGCCAGGACCGGGGTCACTTCGTCTGCAAGCCGCCGCACAAAGGTAGCCCCGCGCTAGCGTCCGCGTGTGAGCCCCATCCCCGAACAGCGCTGAGAACCTGCGCAGACGCGGGGTCGCCAAGCACACGTCCCGCCGTGGGTGACGCGCCGTGAGGCCGCGATGAAGACCCCCTCGCAGTGGGGGTCGCAGAGACCACCAGACACAGCGGCCCCCGGTCCTCAGGGGACACGGTGCAGACCCCACGGGTGTGTGGAGGCACGGACGGCGCCAAGCCCTACGTACGCTGTGCTGTTCTCCACACGTGTGCACCGTGATACAGTTTGACTTATAAACTAAGTACGGCAAAAATTAACAAGATTAATTACAGCAATTATAGCAATTATACTACAATTAAAGCTGCATAAATGTTTCTCTCTCTCCCCCTTCCTCCCTCAAAATATCTTACTATTTCGGGACCGCGGTTGACCGCGGGTAACAGAAACCGCAGGCAGCAAGACCGCAGCGGGGGGGCCGAGTGCATTTCGTCTGCCCAGGAAACACCCTCGAGTTCGTCAGGAGGAAAAAGCCTCGAAATCGCCGGGGGTTGAGGGGACGGTTTCTCGTCCCTCCAGGAGGCCGTGCGGACTCGGGATCTGTTCCGGCCGGCAGGTGACGAAGCACAAAGCGGGTGCGCGAACGGCGCCGCGGTCCCTGCAGCCCAGCAAGGAGGCGCGTCCGGGGGGCGGCGGCGTCAGGGGAGGGGGGCGGATCCACGCCGGGTCCTCGGAGGAGGCGTGTTCCGTCCCCGACGGTGACTGGCGACCAGCAGGCCCTTGACCGACGCCCGGAAGGACGCGGGCCGCCGCGAGGGGGGACGACGGAACAGAACGGCGACAGCGCTCACGACGAAGGCCTGGGAACACCAGCGGCCACCATGACGCCCCCTTCGCCCGCGCTCCAGGGGAGGCCTGGGGAGGGCAGGGCGCGCAGCCAGCCGGGGTGAGATCCGAGCCTTCGCCCCGCGGTCTGGGGGTCGCGCGTCAGCCTGAGGGCTCCGCTTCCCTCTGTCCCGCCCCGCCGGGAACGCGGCGCTCTCCTCCCGCCTGCCGCCACGGCTCTGCGTCCCCAGCCCGTCCCGTGTGTGAGCCACTTCTCGCGTGCCGTCGTGACGCTGTTTGCGGCCCTCTGCCACCTGCGCTTCCCTGGACCTCTCCCGTGCGTGGGTGGCTTCGTCAGCAGAACCAGACTGTCCTCCGTGTGTCTGACTTGCGCTCGCGCAAACTGGCCCAACCGGGCCTGCTAGGCTTGGCGTCCAAATACCCCTGTCCACAACCGAGCTCCCCGCTTGCCACGGCGTGGCTGGGCCGGGCTCCGGCAACTTCCGCACGAGAGAGCCCGCGTCGACGGCGGCCGGGTCCCCAGCCGGGGCGGCTGCGCGTCCTTCCAATGACAGAACCGAATCAAGCCACCCCAGCGACCCCCACGGGCGAGAAGGGACTCGTCCCTCCTCCTCCACCGCCACCGAGAGCTCACGAGTCTTGCCGGGAACCGCGCTCACCTGTTTTCTTCCTGGCTTCCCGCCCGGTCGAGAGGGAAAAGCTGAGACAGGCGGTAGAAGACTCGTAGGTCAGCTGATAGGGGGAGTTCACGCCCATGGCGGAGATGTTCATGGAGGGCTCTGGGGGGGAGAGGGGGATTTGTCCTTCAGTCTTTTCATTTTCTTTCTCTCTTTTTTTTTTTTTTTTGAGACAGAGCTATGATGACATCGCCACACTCCAGCCTGGGCAACACAGCCAGACCCTGCCTCAAAAAAAAAAAATCATCACAGTTTGAATCTTCTTCTTAATGCCCCGGGAGAGCTATTCGATTAAAGCCCTTCTAGAACAAATGAACGTTTTTCCAAAATAAAGGGTCACGTCTTCATTTCTATTCTGCTGTTTCGATTTTTGTTCTCAAACCCGAGGCTAGTTTAAAGAAGGGAACGTCTACACCCGGGGTGCCCACGAGAGGGAGGGCTCCCAGGGCGCGGCGCAGAGAGGAGGCTTCCCCGGCAGGTGCCGACGGGCAGGACACGGCGACCTCCCCGGGGGCTCTCCGGGGCTCAGCCTCCCGCTCTTCTCGTCCTGCACGAGGCGAATCCCGGCCTACAAGGATGCCGGAAGCCCCAGCCTGCCATTCTGGAAGAATCTTCGAACGCTGTATGGGAAGGGGCGCTAGCGGTGAGGACTGTTTTCCTTTTAGAGGTGACAAGAGACGTAATATTCGGGAAGGGGGGACCCTGGGCAGGTGTAAGGCCGGGGCCACCCTGACATCTGTCCATTCGAGTCTCAGACCACGACGCAGCCGCGTCCTCGAACGCGGGGGATCTCTAACCCGCGGAACGGGACACCAGGCAGGGGACGCCGTGTGTGCCCAGCTGGTCACAGCGGATCGGAGACGTAAGAACGGGCCCTGCGCCGCACACGGCGTGAGAAGCCCGTCTCCGGGGCTGACCCGCCCTGGGGGAGGAGCGGCTCGGCTGCGGCGAGGACATCGGGCGCCCGGCAGGTGCCCCCAACCTGCTCTCCGCGGGAGCGACGCCCACGCGCCCACCGCCCGCAGCACCGAGAACCCCGCCGCTCCCCTCCTCCTCGGCTGGGGGAAACGGCGGTTTTCAGATGGAGGGTTTTACCTCCCCTCGCGCTCTTGCCGGTGTCGCTGGCACCGAGGACGACGCTCGCTACCCACCTTTCCCCATCTGCCCGCTGTGGTCGCTCCTCCCGGCCGCGCCCATCAGGCAGTCCAGGGCCTTCTCCTTGGCGTTGAGGTGCAGCAGCCGGCTGGCCTCCACGAAGCGCCTGGCGACGTCCAGGGGGCTGGCGCCTGCCAGACCAACGGCGAGAGCGGCGCGTTCTCCTCCGAGCGCGGGGCCGACGCTCCCAGAGAAGGACGTGTGAGAGCGGCCCAGGAACTAAGGGCGAGGGGCGGCCTATTCCTGGGGGTGCAGGAGGGCGGGGCTCCCCGTGGAAGGGCCTTCAGGGGACCCTTTGCCACTGGCCTCTCTGCCCGTCTCTCTTGCTACCCATGGCCTGGGTCCCGACGCTGCTGGTTTCTGAAACGTGGCGTTGAGAGGGCTCAGCCACCGACACGCCTCGCGTCCTGGCCTCGATGCTGGGGACGACAGCCACCTCGGAGGGACCCAGGTTCCGGCTCTACCAGGCTCTGTCTGGCTGCCTCCCACCCGACCCCCCCAATCTGCAAACTCCACACGTCACCCCCTCCTGGGCGCTGTCTCTCTCCACCTCCGCATCATCCCCGAAACTCCACCCTTCAGTGTCTCTGGCTCCACAGTGTTCCCACTGCTGACCTCCCTAACCCTAACCCTAACCGTAAGCCCTGACCCTAAACCTAACCCTAACCCCAACCCTAATCCTAAGCCCTGACCCTAACCCTAACCCTAAACCTAACCCCAACCCTAACCCTAAGCCCTGACCCTAAACCTAACCCTAACTCCAACCCTAAGCCCTGACCCTAAACCTAACCCTAACCCCAACCCTAAGCCTAAGCCCTGACCCTAACCCTAAGCCCTGACCCTAAACCTAACCCTAAACTAAACCCCAACCCTAACCCTAACCCCTGACCCTAAACCTAACCCCTAACCCCAACCCTAAGCCCTGACCCTAACCCCAACCCTAACCCTAACCCACTGTTCCCACTGCAAAGCCAGGGAAACAGGAGGAAAATGGGAGAACAGGGAGGAGCATGGGGACTATTGTAGGAGCATGGGGACTATTGTAGGAGCGGTGGGGACTATTGTAGGAGCGGTGGGGACTATTGTAGGAGCGGTGGGGACTATTGTAGGAGCGGTGGGGGAAGGAGCCACATCCTACGGCAGCAGACCCGTGGCTGCCACCCACCCCCAGCTCGTGCTCAGCGGGTCCCCGTCTGTGCGGGGCGTGGCGGGCACACACACATCGGGCCAGAGGCGGAGGAGGGCCTGGCCGGCCGGTCTTACCGGACGCAGACTCCAGCATGGCCTTCATCTTCAGGCCGAGCAGTTCCGTCAGCAGGTGGATGGACTGTCGCTGGAACCTGCGTAGCGTCTCCTGGCCGTGGGCCTGCATGGGGGAGGCCGCGGGGTACCTGGCCGCCCTGGTGGCCGCCGGCGTCGGTGGCAGTGGCCCCGGTGGCGGGGGCTTCTTCTGGGCGAGGACCTGCACGGGCGGGGCTTCCACGAGCGCCGCGGGGGGGGACCCGAAGCTGACCTCCAGGCCCAGGATGTCAGACGGGGTGGGCACCGCGGGGTCCGTGATGAGCTCCTCCCACGTGAACTCAAAGATGTTTCTGACCCCCTTCGGGACGGACACGCCCGCGTTCCGGCAGAGCACGAGCAGCTGGGAGACGCGGGCCAGCAGCCTGGGGGCCGCGGCCGTGTACTGCAGGTACAGCTCCCGGTTACTCGCGCCGCAGCTCATGGCGTGCAAGCATGCCTGCTGCTAGGGGGTCCTGTCCAGCCCGGGGGACCGGGGCCTTCCGCTGCGGCCAGTCAGAGCACCCCGACCGGAGACCGGGAGCGCGAGTCCTTACTGGGGCGAGGCCGCGGAGACAGACGGAACAGAAGGGCCGAAACGTCCTCGCAGGTCGTCCAGCCAGTGGTGCCTACCCAGGAAGGAAAAAGAAACAGTCGGTCCCTCTGTCCTTCCCGTCTGCCCAGAGGCACGGCAGAGACCAGCGCTGGGAGTCGCTTTTGGAAGGTATGATTCTAGAAATGCTTCCAAGACAGTCACCGGACACCTACGGTGGGACCCCGGGGGCCGGAGGAATGGAAGGGCCGGGGGAGGAGAAAGGGCCCGCCGCACCTTTTGTAGTTCGAGACCCCGGCGTGGAAGGGCTGCTTGTGGTCTACGGATAAAAACCTGCAAGAACAAAAAGGCGTTTCGCTGACTCTCTCTCTGGGGGCAGGACGAGGAAGCTCGTGGTCGCAATGCTCACAGGGGCGTGGAATCATCCAACGCGTCCACCCGTCCGCGCACGCGTCGGGCAGATAGGGAAGGAGGAGGGGAACGCAGTTTCTTAGTTCGGTCGCTGATATAATTTATCATCAAATCCAAGACACCATGGATTAAAAGATACTTATAAGAATAAAGGAATATAGGCCGGGCGTGGTGGGTCACCCCTGTGATCCCGGCACTCTGGGAGGCCGAGGCGGGAGGATCGCTGAAGGCCAGGAGTTCGAGACCAGCCTCAGCAAGAGGGAGACCCAGTCTCTACTAAAAATAGAAAGAAACTATCTGGACAGCTAAAAACGTATCTATAGAAAAAATGAACCGGGCACAGTGGCCCATGCCTGTAGTCCCAGCTACTCGGGAGGCCGAGGCAGGAGGATCGTTTGAGCCCAGGAGTTGGAGGTTGCTGTGAGCGAGGCTGATGCCATGGCACTCTAGCCCAGGCAACAGAGCGAGACTCTGTCTCAAAAAAAAAAAAAAAAAAAAAAAAGAACAAAGGAATATAGGATGCCATCAACTGTAAGACGCATCACGACGTCAGAGGTATTAAAGTGTGAAAAATGCAATTAGCTCAAAATAATAAATATTTTCCCACTTTAACGCTACAGTTATTTCTACTCTGACGTATTTCTACACCGTGTTTTATTCTCACCTTCGTAACTTGCACCAAAAACGGACCACGGGTTGAAGAGGGGCAGCAAACAGAACAATTGAACGAGCACACACGTGGCTAGAAAAAATCCCACAAATGTCCGTCTAGGGCTTTGTGACCAGATCTAGAAGTTCCATTTGTCTGATCAAAACGGACCCCGTAACGACTCCCCAGGAAGGGTGTCATCGACTGAGGTGCTCGGAGCAGGGCACTGTCCGCTCCTTCGATGGCCTCTGCCGGCATCTGCAGCGCCAATCGCTGCCCTCTGCGACCGCAACGGGCCCGACCGCACGCCCGCCCGGAATGCCGCCCGTCGGGGTTGCCGGCGGTCTTGGCAGTTACTGCGGCGTCCAACTGTCTCCGCCGCCACCTTCCGTCCCGGCGACCACGCCCCCCGCCGCCGCGACGCTGTCAAACCTCAGCCTCTGAGCGCCCTCGGGTTGGCCGTTCCAGGACAGCTGGCCTGGGGCGCACGCGGCTTCAGCGTTCGCAGGGAAGCGTCGCGGCCGTGAGCTCACGCGCCCGCCCCGTCCACCGTTGCCGTTCGGCTGACGAGGCGTCGGAGCTCCTGGCGGGGAGTCGGCCGTCTGTCCGGGCTCCTGGCGCAGAGGCCCTGCCGACCACCACGCTGCTTCTCCGTGGCCTCAGCCTGTCTATCAGTCGCCAAATCTCCAAGGAACAAGAGGCCCCTAGAGCGGCCCCTCCTAACATCCTGCTGGGCTGCGGGTAAGTGGCTTCCTCCGTCCACCCGCCGACCCCCCGGCATCTCCATTCCTCAGCTTTGCAGCCTGGGAAACAGAGACTCATTTGCAACGATAAGTCTGCAGAACAAAGAAACCGCTCAGAATCACCACCATCTGGGCACCCAGCCAGAGGGGCCTGACCCTGCCCGCGAGGGGCAGATTTTTTTTTTTTTTGAGACAGAGTCTCGCTCTGTTGCCCGGGCTAGAGTGCCGTGGCATCAGCCTCGCTCACAGCAACCTCCAACTCCTGGGCTCAAGCGATCCTCCTGCCTCAGCCTCCCGAGTAGCTGGGACTACAGGCATGCGCCACCGTGCCCGGCTAATTTTTCTATATATTTTTAGTTATCCAGCTAATTTCTTTCTATTTTTAGTAGAGATGGGGTCTCGCTCTTGCTCAGGATGGTCTCGAACTCCTGACCTCCAGTGATCCTCCTGCCTCAGTCTCCCGAGTAGCTGGGACTACAGGCATGCACTACTGTGCTCGGGTAATGTTTTCTATATATTTTTAGTTGTCCAGCTAATTTCTTTCTATTTTTAGTAGAGATGGGGTCTCGCTCTTGCTCACGATGGTCTCGAACTCTTGACCTCCAGTGATCCTCCTGCCTCAGCCTCCCGAGTAGCTGGGACTACAGGCATGTGCTACCGTGCCCGGCTAATTTTTTCTATATATTTTTAG